CTCCATCCATCCCTCCATCCATCCCTCCATCCATCCATCCCTCCATCCTTCCATCCATCCATCCATCCCTCCATCCCTCCCTCCCTCCCACTGCCCTTCCCTCCCTGTCTGACCCACAAGAGTTTTCCCTCGTTGACTTTAAAGGGAAAAAAACTCCCTTCAAACTGCCTCTGGATTCAGGCCCAGCTTTTCCCAGGCCTTGGAAGAATAATTGTTCCTCTTTCAGCTCTCCCTGGAAGTGTCGTTTGGGAATGAAAAATCAGGATATTTTCTTTTAGGACAAAGTGAAATGGAACATCCTGACTTTGCCCTTTCCTATGTGCTTCCAGGTTTTATTCCAGACTCAAGTTAAGCTGGGATCAGCCCCAGGCCCCTGGACTGATGCTGATGTGGGACTGGAGTCCTGGAATGGGAATGGGATCCTGTAATGGGATAGGGATCCCAGGATGGGAGTGGGATCCTGTCATGGGATGGGAGTCCCAGTGTGGGACAGGGATCCCAGAATGGGACACATCCCAGAGTGGGACATGGATCCCAGTGGGACATGGATCCCAGGGTGGGACATTGATCCCAGAGTGGGACATTGATCCCAGTGGGACAGGGATCCCAGAGTGGGACAGGGATCCCAGACTGGGACAGGGATTCCAGGGTGGGACAGGGATTCCAGACTGGGACATTGATCCCAGAGTGGGACATTGATCCCAGTGGGACAGGGATCCCAGAGTGGGACAGGGATCCCAGAGTGGGACAGGGATCCCAGAGTGGGACAGGGATTCCACAGTGGGACAGGGATCCTGGCATGGGAGTGGGATCCTGGTGTGGGACATGGATCCTGGCATGGGATGAAGATCCCAGCATGGGATAGGTGTCCTGGAATAAGATTGGGGTGTCAGCATGGGACAGGGATCCTGGTATGGGAATGGGGTCCCTGCATGGGAATGGCATCCCTGTATGGGACAGGGATCCTGGAATTGGACAAGGGCAGGAGTCCTGGTGTGGGACAGGGATCCTGGAATGGGACAAGGGCAGTGATCCCAGTGTGGGACTGGGATCCTGGTGTGGGACTTGGATCTCAGCATGGAACAGTGATTTCCTTATGGAACAGGGATCCCCACACGTTGTCCTGCTGCTGTCCAGGGAGGGGGCTGGGTCCTGGGTGCCCTGACCTGTGGAATTCCGGTGGGATCCTTGCAGGAATGCGGGCCCTTGGTGGTTATCCCACATTTCCCAGGTAAAAACCGAACCAGGGCCCGCCCAGCTCGGGCCTCCCACTGTTCCTTGTGGGGGGCAATTCTGGCTCCTTCTTTGCAAATTCCAGGTGCTGTTGCTCTGCTCTCCCAGCCTTTCCCATCCTTAGGATGATCCTCTGGCTCCTTTGGAACCTGATCCTTGGCTGCCTTTCCCAGCGAGTGCCGACAGCCCCGATCCAGCCCCCGAGTGCCCGGGATGTCAAACCCATCCCTGCCGGACCCTCCCAGCCCTTCCCTCGGCTTTATCCATGCCAACAGCCTGGCCTTTGGAAAACCAGGATGTCCTTTCTCCCCTCCTTGGAAATGCCACCTCCTGCCTCTTTTGATCGGATCCCCTCCCGCGCTCTTCCCGCTCCGGCCTCGGAAAATCCCTTTGCGGGCAGTTCCCGTGACATCCCTCTGTTTGTCCTACAAAAAGCCGGGACGTGGGATGCTCCAGGGTGGGATTGAAGGCAGCAGGGTGGGGTGGCTTTGGAAGGAGCCTTTGATGGCTCCGTGACACGAGCCCGGTGGGATCCTCCAGCCGGCACATTCCATGTGGGATGCTGCTCCATCCCAACCCCTCCGGGCCGTGGCTTTGGAGGTCCCACACCCAGGGACAAGGTCGGGTTTTCAAGTGTCCAGAGGCTGCAGGACATGAAAGATCCCTCGCTGGGCATGGGCCCAGTTTTTGGCAGCTGCTGAAAATTCCTTGGTGGTGTTCCCAGCCAAGCCGGGAGTTCCGGGAGCTTCTGCCGCCTCTTCCAGCTCCGGGGGATCGGGATTGTTGTTTCTCCTGGCAAAGGAAGGGAACAAAACCCTCTCCTAGGCTGTTGTCCTCGCTCAACAGGTCCCAAAGCCTCCAAAGCAGGTTCCTGCAAATTTTCTTTCTGGGAATATCATCCCAGCAGAGGCTGGAGGGGGGAATTTTGTCGCTTGAGCATTTGGGATGCTTGGAAAATGCTGCCTTGTTTCCCAGGGCTGTCTGGGATGCTCTGGGCTGGTTTGTGGATGGGTTTGGGAGCTCTGGGAGACCCGTGGCAGGGGCAGGTGGAGAAGTGGAGGGATCCCACAGGGAGTTTCCTGTGGAACAGGATATTTGGGGTGGGAGACTGAGCTGGCACCGACAGGGAAAAGGTCTCAGAAGGGGTGAGATGGGCAGGTCTTGGGACTCTTTGGAGCCTTCAAAAGGGGTGAGACCCCCCTGCAGAGCTGCTCCAGCCCTGGGAAAGCAGCAGGAGGACGTGGAGCTGCTGGAGAGAGTCCAGAGGAGGCCCTGGAGATGCTGCCAGGGCTGGAGCCCCTCTGCTCTGGAGCCAGGCTGGGAGAGCTGGGGGGGTTCCCCTGGAGAAGAGAAGGCTCCAGGGAGAGCTGAGAGCCCCTGGCAGGGCCTAAAGGGGCTCCAGGAGAGCTGGAGAGGGACTGGGGACAAGGGATGGAGGGACAGGACACAGGGAATGGCTTTAACTGAAAGAGGATCAAGTTTTCCTGTGCCTGTGCCAGCAAGAACTGGAGAATCCTGGTGGTGCTGCAGCCTTGGCAGCAGCAAGGGGATCCCAGGATCCCAGACCCATGTCAGCATCAGTCTTGGGGCTGATCCTGGCTTAACTTGAGCCTGGAATAAAACCTGGAAGCACGTGGGAAAGGGCAGAATCAGGATGTTTCATTTCACTTTGTCCTGAAAGCAAATATTCTGATTTTTCATTCCCAAATCCCAGCCCTTGGGATTTGCTCCGGCACCTGCCCCGAATTCCCAGGCACGGCCACGAGCCCCGGGCAGGGCAGGACAAATCCTGCTGGGATCAGAGACTGTGGATCAAAAGGCAAGCCCTGGATGCAGAGCTGCTTCCCGCTGCCAATCCCCCATCCCAGAGTTCTGCCTCTGCTCACTCCATGAAATCCCAGGGAAAGGTGTTGGTTGGAGCTGGGACAGTTGGAGCAGGTTCCTCTTGTGCTCCCTCTCGTGTCACCAATGGAGGAGGAGGGTGGAAATGGTGTCCCTTTACCCAGGGCAAGATCAGGGAATTCTGGAATGGTTTGGGTTGGTGGAGACCTTCAAAGCTCATCCCATCCCACCCCTGCCTTGGGCAGGGACACCTTCCACTGGCCCAGGTTGCTCCAACCTGCCCTTGGACACTCCCAGGGATCCAGGGGCAGCCACAGCTTCTCTGGGAAATCCATTCCAGTCCCTGCCCACCCTCACAGCCAACAATTCCTGCCCAATATCCCAACTAAACTTTTTCAGCTTGAAGCCATTCCCTGTGTCCTGTCCCTCCATGCCTTGTCCCCAGTCCCTCTCCAGCTCTCCTGGAGTCCCTTCAGGCCCTGCCAGGGGCTCTCAGCTCTCCCTGGAGCCTTCTCTTCTCCAGGGGAACCCCCCCAGCTCTCCCAGCCTGGCTCCAGAGCAGAGGGGCTCCAGCCCTGGCAGCATCTCCGGGGCCTCCTCTGGACTCTCTCCAGCAGCTCCACGTCCTCCTGCTGCTGTTCCCAGGGCTGGGGCAGCTCTGCAGGGGGGTCTCAGCTGAGGGGGCAGAGGGGCAGAATCCCTTCCCTCAAATCTCCTTTCCAGCACAAAATTCCAGCTTTGCTCCAGAAACCCAACCCCTTTTCCTTGGCCCAGTGAGACCATTCCTGACCAACCCCTGTCATCCTGCCTCCCTTTTAAAATCCCTGTAAAACAAGAGATCCAGGAACTCCTTCAAGCTTTGGAGGATGTTTTTTTCCCCCTTCATGTTACAATATTTGAAAGGAAAACACCCCGGGAGTCCCAATAAAACTCCTGCTGGATTTATTCCCTGATTGTTAGAGAGCAGAAAACTCCCAATAAAAAGCTGTTTCCAACAACAGCCCAACCTCCCCCAGCCCTTCCCAGGCTCCATCTGCTGCCCACGGAGCTTTATGGGAACAAAACAACATCTTGGAGCCCTTGGAAGCTTCCAAATGTCCCTAATAATAGCAAAGCCGTGCTGTTAGTAATGACTTTTCCCTCTGGGGAATCCCAAGGACTGAGGAAAAGTGGGAGCTGACTGAGGATA